ATTTCAATAAAGACTGTTTGTCGAGACGGGAGTAAATTGTATAATTTCAAAACAGGTGTGCTTTGAAACTGTTTGTAATGCGTACACTTGCAGGCCTTTGTTTGGTGGTACATACAAAGTAAAGTACATATAGATATATATATATAAACATGCCTTCTTATGTAAATAATCATTAGCATAAATAACATTACGTTTTATTCAACCTGCATTACAACGAGAATAGCTGTCTTTACACGGACGATCTTTCGCGCGCGAAAATCCCCCGTCAAATTCAAAAGGGATCGAAATTACGACGGTCTGAGCCGCGGTTCGAACCTCTACTTTTTGACTTGGAAAAAATCCCTCATGGACACCCGCCGGGAGAGGCAAGCGGGTACTGTGAGACTCCTACTCGCTAAAAACTCCAAGATGTCCCTTTGTTTACGTCAGGAAAATCCATCATGGAGAACCATCCGCTTAGGGACGAATGGATACTGCCGGACTCCTACCTGCTAAAAACCTGACGACTGTTCGTCCTCGACATAATCGCCGTGGCCACGATGTCCCTCACCCAATGCTTAGCCGGAGTCGCGGGATCGGAATCAGTCCACCGCGACTCCTACGGTGGTGGCCCACACTAGCAGCGGGCCCCATCTTTGCTGGTTCCCTGGCAGAACCCACTACTTCTTCCGTCTTCCCTGGGGAAGGCGCGCGGAGACATGCGCGCGATTTATACGGGCCTAGTTCGGTGGGGTGGGACCGCCCCGTGGTCGTCACCACGGCCCGGTAGCGATCTAGGGGCGACTTGCGGTGCCCCTGCCTCCCTGATCGCTATGAGGAGAACTGACGTCCATCTCCTCCTGGTTCCTGCTACCACGACCTGATGCCTGAGAGGCGGGCCGTGCCAATCCTTCCTCTTGAGCGGGGTGCACTTCTTGCTCCCCACCCAGTGGTCCACCGGCTGACCCAGTGATGAGCAAATTGCACACTTCTGGGCCGCGGTGCACACTGCGGTGCGGTTCGAACCCCTAGAGGTACTCTCAGACTAAAATCGTATCCGTCAGGCGGGAGTTGTCCTTCAGTCCTTATAAGTCCTTCCTTGGTTTGGAGTGCATCTGCACTCGCCCCCTATCGTCCGGTGAAGCTGTAAAGCCAGTTGCGGACAACAGCATTAGAGTAATTCGAAAAAAAACGTTTAAAAAATTTAAGCGCAAAGCTGAATAGCTTCAACAACAATCAGGCGAAAGAGAGAACACAAAAAAATGTTAACTGCAATCACGATTGCGCGCGTTGCTTTTCCCGCGCTAAAACAGCATCGCAGCAATCGCACGGGAAAGAACGTTTCGTGTAAAGGCTACCTTTACACGAAACATACTTTCCCGCGCGATAATGGGACCAATAATCTATATACGAGACCTTCGAGATGTCACAGTATAATTAATAATATATAATAATAACCTACGACAATTCACATAACTCTAAACAGACCTTGTACCATGTGTTTTAAACAACTGACAGAAATACACAAATACATTTATTGTAAATATATACATGTATGTATAATAATAATGTGTTGCCATATAAATTAATGGTGATCGATGGCCGAGACTAGAAAATTACTGAAGTACAAATATCGTTATCTTATATATAAAATTCTCGTATCGCAGTTTTCGTTCCCATACTCCTCCGAAACGGCTTGACCGATTCTCATGAAATTTTGTGAGCGTATTGAGTAGGTCTGAGAATCGGCCAACATCTATTTTTCATCCCACTAAATGTTAGGGGTAGTCATCCTTAATTTTTTTTTTATTATAAGGCTAAACAACGTTTGCCGGGACAACTAGTCTAAATATATATTACTCAAAGGTGATCGACTGACATAGTGATCTATCAAAGCACAGACCAAACCACTGGACGGTTGACCTGAAATTTGGCATGCAGGTAGATGTTATGACGTAGGCATTCGCTAAGAAAGGATTTAGATTAATACTACCCCCAAGGGGATGAAATAGGGGATGAAACTTTGTCAATTTTAAACCGATCGGGCTGAAACTTTGCATGCATAAAGCTACTATGACGTAGGCATCCCCTAAGAAAGGATTTTGATAAATTCCATCCCTAAGGGGTTAAATTAACGCGAGCGAAGCTGCGGCCAAAATCTAGTATATATATATATAAATGTATAGTCGTAATAAACTGGTTGCGTTTTAAAGAAAGTTAGCAACAGAGTCAAGGGCCTTCTTGTGTCGAGAGCGCTGTCGTTTGTCCCTTTGTGCCGGCTGAGACTTAACAATAACCTGTCACTGTGTAACTATAGTTTGTATTCACCTGTTCAGTGTACGGCGACCTCTTTCTTTCACTACATAAAGCGTTGACCTGAAATACATTGTATGTTTCTTTTTATTTATTTATTCATTTATTTCAGGGAACTAGGCCCATATTATAAATACCTTATAGACTAACATACATGTAATATAATATTTAAAAACTAATACATTGATATTGTCTGTGTGATCACTGCACTGAAGACGGCAATCTGCCACGGTAGCGCCGATACACCGCCGATACACCTTTCGGCCAGTAGTCCTCTTTCATGAAGGTGGGCAGCAAGTCGGTGGGGACCAGGGCCACAAACGCTTTACGCCTACGTCGTAGTAGATTTATGCATGCAAAGTCTCAGCCCGATCGGTTTAAAATTGACAAAGTTTCATACAAACTTTCATCCCCTACTTTATCCCCTTGGGGGTTGAATTAATCAAAATCCTTTCTTAGCGGATGCCTACGTTATAACATCTACCTGTTTGCCAAATTTCATCCCGATCCATCCAGTGGTTTGGGCTGTTCGTTGATAGATCACGATGTCAGTCACCTTTGAGTTGTATATATATAGATATATAATTAGTTATTTAAAAAAGGAAAATAATAGTCATATTTATTTTCTTAGCATATATGTCAACAGGGCCCCGAACCCTTTCGTGGCGTGCCTCGTTGCCTAAAACTGGGACATCTTAATTTAATAACCGAACGAGAAGCACTGAATCACTGGCAAAAAATGCCAGGATTGACACATTCAAAAGCCCTAATATCGGGCTACTCGAACAAATACTCCAATAGACTACTACTATTGAGTAAAAACAACATATGCATGATGACTAGGGCCCTCACAGGACACTGCAAATTAAACAAGCATATGGCTAAACTAGGCCTATGCACGACAAAAATCTGCAGATTCTGCCAAACTTAAGACGAAACGCCACTACATATCCTAGTTGTAGCCCACTCATGCATAAACGAAATATCTCCTTTGGAAAGTTTACACTCTATCCTGAGGAGATAAAACCATCGCTCCTAAGAATATCCTTCAATTCTTGTCCCTGACGGATCTAGGTAGCGAACTCTGAAAAAGGGCCAGCTCAATAGATATATGTGCTACAGGTGCTACAAATATCTGACAATAGCCCAAACATCGCAATAAAAAAAAAAATTAATAGCATATATGTTATTCTGATATATAAGCTATATATACTTTAAAGTTTCATCAGAATCCATTCAGTAGTCTTTGCGTCAAAGAATAACAAATTTCCATCCATACTCAGAAACTTTCGAGTTTATTATAGAATAGAAAATCATTTATTCAAATAAACTTAATTTAAGCACTTTTGAATAGTCAACATTTTTTTAAATCTACCGCTTATTCGGAAAGCTGTCTCATCACAAGAAGAATAAGCAAGAAACTTGTGTGTCGCTCTTTTTAATAATCCTTGTAAGTTCACATTTTACAAGTCGAAACGTGTGAATACAAACTACCAACCAGCACTAATTTATTTAGGCTCAAATATAAAAACACAATAAGATTAAATCAGTCGTAGTGATAAGAGCAGACCAGTCCCTACAAGCAGCACTCGTTCACGAGTATGACGGATGAGCCAGCCATCACTGCGCTCGACCATATTTTAGGGAGCCCAATGACCCGGCCCACCACGCCGCCACATGTCTGGACATTTTAGTGATTATTATATTAATAAGATAGGATTATACTATTTTCTTTACTTCAAATACTCCAAACTATGCGTCTATATATTATATATAAGTCATTCTTACTCACAAATGATTGACCACAAGCAAAAGACAAACTAACTTCTCTATCTACTCTAAACTCCAAAAAGAAGCTCTTCTCAATCCTGGGTATTGTATCTGACTGGACATTTCTGATGGACACGTAAGAAAAGTATTGTAAAATCCTGGAGGATGTAGGATTTCACCATCCAGGCCTAGAGTTACCAACCGTCCTGTTTTCCCAGGACATGTCCTAGTATTTAAAGTGTCCTGAGTAGTCCTAAATAGTTATTTGGCAGCGTTCTGGGTTTTTAAAATATCTCTCTTTCTTCTATTCTCTTGATTACTGATTTTCAACAGTATAATTTTATCAAATACTTTTTATTAAGAACCTGATTATATTAATTAATTAAATTTTACTACATATTAATATATCTATTGCAACAGTATTACTGTATTTTCTTTTAAAACTGGATTTTAAATTAGGGCTTAGCAACTCTATCCAGACCAGATATATTCCTGTATTCTAGGAAAGTGAATATGTAAATACTTGTAGAACTCACTGTACCATGGGAAACAAATATATCTAAAGATCACGTAAGCCATGGAAACTTGCTATGTAGTTAATTAAATACAATCGAAGTGGGAACAAGAGCTATACCAGCGACTTCTCGACACAATCTTCTAAAATGTCTTAGAACTGCAGTGGGTTCAATACTAGAACCATATTGGTAGGCTCCTACCAAATTTCTCTTGGCAGGTAGAGGAACACGCTCGTGAATGCGTTAAACCTATACCAGAGTCACAATTTCTGGCAAGAGCTCGGAGTTTCAATAGGTGAGACATAGTCACCCAAACAGACAACTTTGTAAAAAGTCAACATCGGTAAGGAAGAAAATAAAATTTCGGCAAAGATATTTTAAGTAAAATTTAATCTAATTAAAGTCTAGAAGATTATAATATAACTATGCATCGTCTTCTAGAACGAAGTCGGCGGCCCTCTCCCCTAGTGCGATGGCTGCGGCGGCGGTGTTCCCGCGCGGCGGGCGGGGCAGCACGCCCGCGTCGGCGGCGCGCAGCCGGCGCACGCCGCGCACGCGCAGCCGGCCGTCCACCACGCGGCCCAGCGCCGTCGTGCCCACCGAGTGGAACGTCGAGTACGTCATGTGCCGCGCGTAGCAGCCCCAGTACGACGACCAGTCCTCCTCTGCGCTTCGAGGACAGCCCTCCAGCTCCAGCTGCACCATAGACGCGCCGCGCGATTTGAACGCGGGCGTCTCCATTAAGTCTTTAATTATATTTATGCCACGTAGAATCTCCTCCACATCTCGGTCGTCAGACAGATAATTGGGAAATATGGTAGGGGGTTGAAGCGGATCCGCGCTCGCCAGCCGCACCCTACCGCTCGACTTTGGTCGCAACACCAGAGACGATATTATTATAAACGCTGAATTTTTACTAATTTCAGTCAATTGTTTGATCACAGAGTCCTCTAATCCAGTGCTGTGTTGCATAAAGGCTCCTCCGACGACGAGCAAACCTCTATCTATGTACGCGTGAATGAATTGTGTCGTGGGCAACTCGCACTCGGTGCTGTTGTTTATAAGCTGGTGTTTGTCAAAATCGTAACATAGCGTGTTCACGAAACCCGTTACATCGGTGAGGCCGATGGATCCCAAAGATCCACCTCGTGTTAGTATTATATCGGCCAATGAGCTGAAGACCTTCTCGGAGCCATCCAGAACCTCTTTCAGTAAATTTAACTCCTCGTCCACCTTAATGAAAACTAACGGTAACGTGTGATCTGTCATGTCATCACCTACAGACAGATCTACACGAAGTGGTATACCTAACTCGTTTAAATGTTCAGCCGGACCGATCCCAGACAACATGAGCAGTTGTGGGGTGACTAGAGCGCCAGCACTTAAGATAACTTCTTTCTTCGCGTACAACCGTAGTTTAGCTTTGAACAGACCATGAGCGACGGTGACTCCGCGCGCCACATTGTTATCGTCTATGATAACTCCAGTACACGTCGTGAACTTGGCCACTTTCAGCTTCCTCTTCACATCAGTCCTACCGAGATATCCTCGTGCAGTGCTCATACGCAAATTATCATAAGTATAGCCAATGATATGAGAGACTCCAATTTGGGTTGCCGCATTTACATCAGGATTGTTGGGGAAATTTAAAGCTTCATAGCCATCAACAATCCTTGAATGCCAAGGATTGTTAGAATCTTCGAAGAATTCAATCTTCATCGTACCTGTGGTGTTGTGATATGGTATGGAAGATGCAGGAAGCAGGTCTAAGTCCTGTAACCCTTCGTAACGTAAGAAATAAGGTTCTACGTCGTTCCAGGACCAGCCTGTGATGTTGAGACTATCGAAGTCGTCCCGATTACCGCGGACGTACATCATGTAGTTGATACTGGTGGAGCCTCCCAGACACTTGCCGCGGCTGGCTACGCACGCTTTATTCTGCGACGACAGACACGACACGTTGTTAGGCACAGTGTCATAATGATAATCCAGGGCAGAACCCAATAGCGCCATCGATGCAGCCGGTGCCTAGAAAAAATATTAATTGAATTTTAAAAAGAATACTATTCATATCGTATGCTTTATCACTATAATAAATGGATTATTTAGATTTACTATAGATTGATTTGAATAAGGCAGAGCTCTAGTAATTTTACGATCAATCAAAAAGATGTATGAGAGCATTATTTAAAATTTATTATTTACAATTTTGCTAAATTGAAGAGGTTTTAAGTTAAGACGATTTTTATTTTACAAACTTGCGGCTACCCTGCTGCTAAATGATGCCGCTCATGAGCACCCGCAACACCAGAGGAAATGCAAATGCTTTTCCGGCCTTTTAAGAAGGAAAACACTCTAGGTTGGAAATACAATTGCTGGAAAGTGACTCCACCATGTGGTTGTGCGTGGCAAAAAATTTCTAGTGGACCATTAGTTAACCATTAATTCCATTCTCACGATTCTGTTTTTTATAGCATTAGGTACTTTACCCTGGAGACGAGGTCAGGATCGCCCCCCGCTTCTATGAGCAGCACGTTAGCCCCTGCAAGAGCAAGCCTGGCGGCAGCCGCCGACCCCGCGGCACCCGCTCCCACCACGATGTACTCGAACACCTGGCCATCTGTTCACCGAAGTACACTTAATACAAAGTCATCCAACCGGTTATCAATACCGGTTAACAAAGCCGGGTGTTGTGAAACCTCTTTCGTTTAATTTTTTATATTTAAACTAGCTTTTGCCCACGGCTTTGCTCGCGTATATAGGGTCGCGCAAATAGGGGATGAAAGTTTGTATAAATCTTCTTAGATTTTCGACTGATTGAACTGAAGTTAAAGATTGGAGTTACTATAATGAGGACGTTCGCTTAAATAGGATTTTGCTAAATTCAACCCCCATGGGGATAAAATAAGGGATGATGCAGGACATTAGTTTGAACCTATCAGTATCTAATGGACCGAATAAATTAATACGTACAAAATAATTTTTAGTTCTTTAGGCTACTTTTATTGTAGAAAAATAAAGTTAGATTACGAGGAAACAGCTAGTCTATCTATAAATCCACTCATCCTACATACCCGCTGTCCCGAAACCAAGAAATTTCTATCCGATCCATCACACCGGGTGTTTCCATACACATCTAAAAAAATGTGCGTTAAATTATACATACCCCAAAGTTTTACCCCTATAGGTAGCGAATAGCTCGGCTGCTGTGCTGTTGTCTGGCCGTGGACGACAGCAAGAAGAGAGAGCAGTACCAATCTGAAAATATAGAGACGTTCAAAATACGAGCTCGGTGGACTAGCTGTTACCATTACCATCTTATTTCAATTGCCATTTTTTTTAAATTATTAAAATCACATTATCTCTACCTCAGCTACCTGCCAAAAAAAGTCCCGTCAAAATCGGTCCAGACATTTCAGAGATTAGCCGGAACAAACAGAGAGACAGACAGACACAAAAATTGTAAAAAATGTTATTTTGGTGTATGTATCGTACTTATATTCATATGCATGTAGTAAAAAACAGTTATTTCAATATAACAAACAGACACTCCAATTTTATTTGTATGTATAGATGAACTATTACTCACTCAAAATAAACTCAAATAAACGATATATCTATCTATCTATCTAACTCACGGCACTCAATATCTATGGTAAAAATAATTTTATTTGTATTTTTATATAACGACTGTTTGTAGCCAAAATAAAGAGAAAAAAATATTGGCGCCAATATAATAATAATAATAATCTCAGGACAATTCACACAGCGCCATCTAGACCCAAGTTAAGCTAGCTGAAGCTTGTGTTATGGGTACTAGATAACTGATACGAATACTTAATTTTTTTTCGTAAATACATACATAGAAAACATAGAGACCGATACAAACAATCATACTCATAAATATAAATGTTTGTGCCGTGCGAGGAATCGAACCCGCGACCATCGGAAGTAAGGTGATGTGCTAAACCACTACACTATCGAGGTCATCTCGGCCTACATGTTATTACTTTATTGACACGACAGTACTATCGTAATATTTAATTAAATGATTTGTCGACAAAAAACTTCATAATTAACTTTTAATTAGCTCTTATCATTTCAATTGTGCCAAGTGCCTTCTCAATGTTTTTTTTTTAATTTATTACAATACATACGTAAAAAAGATAAGGGTATCGAACCTGCGGTCACCGGAAAGTGAATTGTGGGTAACGTGGGTACGAATATTGTGTTTAGCTGAGTGAGCCGAGCTGAGTTTCTTGTCAGTTCTTCTCATCTCGATATCATTCCGAACTGACGGTAGATTTGACATATCATAAGAGTCTGTAATGGACCTACATGAATAAAGATATTTTGAATTTTGAATGACATTTTATATTGAGTAAACAACAACAAGACCATGCATCATTATTACACATACCCTCCGATCGATCCTCTGTCCAAATCAAACGGGGATCGATATTACGACGGCCTGAGCCGAGGTTCGAATACGACTTTAGTCTGAGGGCACCATTAGGGGAATGGTGCCCTCAGACTAAAGTCGTATCCGTCAGGCAGGAGTTGGCATTCAGCCGTTCCATAAGTCCTTCCGCGGGTATGGAGTGCCATCTGCACTCGCCCCCTAACGTCCGGTGAAGCTGTAAAGGCCAGCTGCGGCCAACAGCATTAGACTAATCCGGAAAAAAAAGGACACTGCAAATTGAACAAACATGTAGCAATCCTAGACCTGTGCACACCAAAAATCTGCAGATTTTGCCAAACTGAAGAGGAAACGCTACTAAAGATCCAACGTGGTTGCAGCCCACTAATACATAAACGTAATATCTCCTTTGAAAAGTAAAAAAAACCATCGCTCCTAAGAATATCCTTCAATTCTTGTCCCTTACGATCTAGGAAGCGAATCTCTGAAAAAAGGGCGAGCACAATAGACAATAGTCCAAATCCCCAAAAACAAAAATAAGAATAACATTTGACATGAAGATGTATAGAGGACAATCGTCGCCATAATTGCCGTTGCCGTTAACAATTTAAATAATGTATATTAAACACGAATTATATTACAAAATACCAGACAAAGTCGCGTGAAACAATCAGCTATAGTATGACCGATAAAATATTAATTCCTACCTAATTTACATAACGAACGATTATCTGAAAAAAAAAAACAAATTAGGCAATATTAATTATAACCTTGGTTGCTTGTAGGCAGTTAGAATTTGACCATATGTAAATATTTGATAATCATAAGCAAATATCTGACAAAAAAACGAGTTATTTGTTTTATATTGTACTGTCAAAGTATGAGTTACTGTTCATCGTAAACTGAATAGCTAAATAGTGTTAAAATACGATTTCATATAATTGTATATGTAATGTAAGAATTCATAATGTAACAATACAACACAATGTAATGAAAACTGTGAAATTAGTAGTAGTGTAAGATTTATATAATTGTGTATGCATATTGGTAAATGTAACTGGCTCCTAATAAAGATAGGTGACACTGCATGTTGTCAACTCACCCGGCCGGCCAGCGGTGGTTCTGGGCCAGATGGATAAGGTTTGCCTCGGTGCCACTGTTAGGCAAATTGTAACATCTCGGCTGAAGTTGTACAAAAGTGGAAATTAAAGAAATATAATAATATTAAAGTAAATTAAAAAAGGCACGGACGAATATGTCTGTGGAAAATTGTATTTAAAAAAAAAACTGAATAGCTAACCAGCGAACTGTCCACTCACCACTCTCGCCTATATAGTCCCTCCGATCGATCCCCCGTCCAATTCAACCGGATCGATTTTACGAGCCTGAGCCGAGGTTCGAACCCCTAGCGTTGCCCTCAGACTAAAGTCGTATCTATCAAGGTAATGGTATAACTAGCCAAGCCAAGCCTGTATAACAAGCTAAGCCATTACCCCTGGAATTTCCCTAAATTATTTCTGTGGGTTGACAGTGTCGTCATGGTATGGACAAGTAATGCGTAGGAACGAGGATAATATTTTAAGAAAGGTGTTACATATGAATGTGGATGGTTATAAGGGCAGAGGAAGACCGAAAAAGAGATGGATGGACTGTGTGAAAGATGATATGGTGAGAAAGGAAGTAAATAACGCGATGACTGCGAACAGAGAAAAACATATTACGCCGACCACAAATAAATGGGATAAGGAAGAAGCAGATAATTATGGTTGGCAGTGTTGCCCTTGGTTACCTAATGTAGGGCTGTTTTATGATTTACCCCAGGGCCCTTGGTTTCCTAATGTAGGGCCGTTTTATGATTTACCCCGGGGTTCTTGGTTTCCTAATGTAGGACTGTTTTATGATTTACTTCCGGGCCCTTGGTTTCCTAGTGTAGGGCCGTTTTATGATTTACCCCAGGGCCCTTGGTTTCCTAATGTAGGGCCGTTTTATGATTTACCCCAGGGCCCTTGGTTTCCTAATGTAGGGCCGTTTTATGATTTACCCCAGGGCCCTTGGTTTCCTAATGTAGGGCCTTTCTATGATTTACCCCAGGGCCCTTGGTTTCCTAATGTAGGGCCGTTTTATGATTTACCCCAGGGCCCTTGGTTTCCTAATGTAGGACCGTTTTATGTTTTACCCCAGGGCCCTTGGTTTCCTAATGTAGGGCCTTTCTATGATTTACCCCAGGGCCCTTGGTTTCCTAATGTAGGGCCTTTCTATGATTTACCCCAGGGCCCTTGGTTTCCTAATGTAGGGCCGTTCTATGATTTACCCCAGGGTCCTTGGTTTCCTAATGTAGGGCCGTTCTATGATTTACCCTAGGGCCCTTGGTTTCCTAATGTAGGGCCGTTTTATGATTTACCCCAGGGCCCTTGGTTTCCTAATGTAGGGCCTTTCTATGATTTACCCCAGGGCCCTTGGTTTCCTAATGTAGGGCCGTTTTATGTTTTACCCCAGGGCCCTTGGTTTCCTAATGTAGGGCCGTTTTATGATTTACTCCAGGGCCCTTGGTTTCCTAATGTAGGGCCGTTTTATGATTTACCCCAGGGCCCTTGGTTTCCTAATGTAGGGCCGTTTTATGATTTACCCCAGGGCCCTTGGTTTCCTAATGTAGGGCCGTTTTATGATTTACCCCAGGGCCCTTGGTTTCTGAACTAGGTCACTGCATAGTGGTCTCGTTTTTGTACCTGAACTATCATTTTGAGATAACTCAGGACGTTTCTCAAAAATAATCTACTCAAATAACTGCAACAATCACATCAAGGGACATTTCATCATAATAATTTCTATTTAATTTTTAATACTTTTGGTACTTTATAATATTAAATAGCAAAATGATTTAAATTCAAAGATATTGAAGTAAGTTACTAAATTGCCTGTGAAATCAAAAACAATTTACAAAATTCATTAGTGACCGCTATTAGGCTAATGAATTGTGACATCAGAATAGTATGTAACGATCCCTATTGTATATATAAATAGCTGCAACCGCGACTTCGTCCGCGCGGAATTTAGCTTTAATTTCTAAAATAAAAGTACCCTAAGTTACTCCTTATTGCATCAGCTACCTACCAAAAAAAGTTTCTGCAAAATCCAGCCATTTCAGAGATTAGCCGGAACAAACAGACCGACAGACAGACAGACAAAAATAGTAAAAAGTGGTTTTTTGGTGTAGGTACCATATTTATATTCATATGCATGTAGTAAACGGTTATTTCAATATTACAAACAGACACTCCAAGTGTATTTATATGTATAGATGTATAGATTGTTGTCTGTGGTTATTAAACTGTTATACAATATTAAATTCATTATTGATGTACATACATACAGACAATATACAACGGATGCTTCACTCGGTAGCAGGATATTGGACCGTTACATCTTATTAGACGTTTTGGAAATGTATTTCATGTTCAGAATTGACCTCTCTACAGATTTATTATAAATATAGATAGATAGAAGATAGACGAAGATAGATAAAGGTATTTACCTCTCGACGTTTCGACCAGGTTGCACTAGCCGTGGTCACAAGCTGACTGCTGGGCTAGTGTTTTTTTTTTAAAGGATGATAATGGAATGGTGCACCCGCCTGCGCTAACGGTTTACGCTGGCGGGGCACCAGTGGAGGATGATAAGATGAACATGAAGTCAGATCAGTTAGCCTAACGTGACAAATTCACCGGGAATGTATCACGATGGTTTCCAAGGGGACCGCGTGGAGGTCAAGCTGACATGGTACATTGATAGTAATAGAGTCATGATGCTGGGCTAGTGTAATCTAGTTGAAACGTCGAGATAGGTTTATTTAGATCACGAGGTTTATATCGGTAGCCGTGGTCACGAACTGAC